AGGAAACAAATCCCGGTGATTTTGGGTCGACCTTTCTTGGCTACGGCCAATGCATGCATTAATTGTCGGACCGGGGTTATGGAAGTTTCATTTGGTAACATGGAAGTGAAACTTAATGTTTTCCAAGCATCAAAACAACCACATGAGAAAGAGGAGTGCTTATTAGTGGATGTTGTGGATGAGATTGTTGAGGAGGCTTTGCCCTCCATTCTTGTAGAGGACCCTTTGGAGGCTTGTCTAGCTCATTTTGGGTTTGAAAATTTTGATATAGATGGGTCAGTTGAGGAGGTGAATGTCTTGCTTAATTCTTCTTCTACACCGGATTTTCCTCCATGGAAAGCCCGGTTTGAGTCACTTCCTCCTCTGTCGAGAGAGCCTGCCACACCTTCTTTGGTCACACCACCTACACTTGAGTTGAAGTCACTTCCGGCCACGCTCAAGTATGCATTTTTAGGGTCCCAAGATACTTTACCGGTCATCATTGCATCTGACTTGACTGCAGCGCAGGAGAGTCAGTTAATGAGTGTTCTCGTGGCACATCGGAGTGCTATAGGGTGGTCAGTGGCTGATTTGAAAGGATAGATCCCTCCGTGTGCATGCATTATATACACCTAGAGGAGGACACGCGAGATGCAACGGAGACTGAATCCTAACATGAAAGAGGTGGTGAAGAAGGAGGTTTTGAAATTGTTGGATGCGGGTATTATATACCCCATCTCAGATAGCAAGTGGGTAAGTCCCACACAAGTAGTGCCCAAGAAATCGGGCATCACTGTTGTTGAGAATGAAGGAGGAGAGTTAGTCCCCACACGAACCACTACTGGGTGGCGAGTATGCATTGATTATAGGAGACTAAATTCCTCAACTAGGAAGGACCATTTTCCCTTACCTTTCATTGACCAAATCCTAGAGCGGTTAGCAGGGTAGAGCTGCTACTATTTCCTTGATGGCTACTCTAGTTATAATCAAGTTCCTGTGTATCCTGATGACTAGGAAAATACCACATTCACATGTCCTTTTGGCACTTTTGCCTATCGCCGAATGCCCTTTGGGCTTTGCAAAGCACCAGCGACCTTCCAACAATGCATGATGGCTATCTTCTTTGACATGGTGAAGAAATCCTTAGAGGTCTTCATGGATGACATCTGTGTGTTTGGGCTGTCTTTTGAGAAATGTCTCTAGAACTTAACTAAAGTCCTTACTCGTTGTGTGGAGACAAACCTTGTTTTGAGTTGGAAGAAGAGCCATTTTATGGTTTGCAAGGGTATAGTGTTAGGACACATTGTGTTCCCTCGAGGTATAGAGGTCGATAAAACTAAAGTTGACCTCATCGCAGACCTTCCTCCACCCACTTCTGTGCGTCAAGTTAGGTCTTTTCTA